ACAGTGCCCCAAATATAGCCAATCATTTCGCCTTGTTGACGCTGTATGAACCAGTCAGTATTCGCTGATATACCATCGTGTTTCAAATTACTCATTGACCAATACTAACTAGTGCTGATAGTGTGTCAATAAATACGGTACTTCGATTCGCTTACATGTGTTCATGTCACCTCCTGAATGGAGAGATGATCGCACAGAAAACGCAAGCGAAAGAGCTATTTGCCGTCGTTTTGTTATTAATCTGGATATGAGGGACACGAATACGTGGCAGCAGTGTGTGACTCATTTCCGGTGTCCTATTTGTTCGTAGCATTCGCTTCTGGTCATTTTTTTTAAACACCATGAAGGGCACATGATGACTGACATCAAGTGTCTTTTTCGCCTGAGGGAGATCAATCCGACCTTTGAGCACGTGCACGCATATGCCCAACTTTCGCGGAAAGCTTCTTGAGAAGGGCAAAAAAAAGGAGCTAAGATATATCACGTGTTTATCAAAAATTCAAGAATACTCTGCATAAATCAGAAAAGTTGAATCTGCGACGATTGGGGAACCTTTTTTTTTTTTTTGCATGGTACCGATAACATTTGCACAGTGATCAGGAAGCGTTATGCAGCGAAGTGCGAGTGTCTTCAATGCCTCCTGCATATCAGTTCTGTTATATCGATGTTTGCGATAAGCGGTTACTGTACAGTAACTATTGAGTTAGTGCAGTTGTGTTCATGGCATGAGCTATGCTTGAATTGAGTGTAGCTGCAACATAGCCAACTGTTTGATTCTTTTATTTTTATTTACAAATACCCCATAGGCTTCAAGTAATAGTATTTTGTGAGGGGGGCTATATAATAATTTTTCTTCAAGGAATATGGAACAAACAAAATAAATTCAAAAGCCAAGTGTACAAATATTACGTATAAAGAAAAACATGCACAAATAATATGAAATTTTGTGTTATAAATATTTAAACGCGATGACATGTAAATGTCCAAAGAATGAACGCCGATAAGAAATATGTGTTTAGAAAACACAATCGTAAATTGTGTTTTATTCCTAAATGCCCCGTGACCGCGAATGCACACAACATCATCAGAAATATCATTCCAATGAGCAATGCATGCACCTTTAATGCATGCTAGCGCGGATGCATTAAAAACTTGGGTTCGGCCAGAAAGACGAGAAAAACTATGCTGATTGTGAAGCCTGTGAGATGTGCGATGAGGTTTTGATAGTGGCAAGGTATTCACGTGTGTACTATAGATGACTTTATCTAATAAACACACAATGGTCATCTTCTTGCGCAATGCCAGGGATGATAAGGACAACGAAGTCTTAATGTCAGTTAAACTGGCATAGCGATTGCGGTTACGCGCAATAAAACTTGCAGCGTGGTTTCGAACAGATCACAGTAAGTCAATGAGATAGGCTTGATGAGGTAACAAGACGGATGATGCATACTCTAGTTGTGGGTGAACAAATGTTTGATATTGTAGTTTACGTGTAATGGATGGCGCCATGTGAAGGTTACGTTTCAGGTATCCGAGGGTGCGTGATGCTGAGGCAGTAATTTTTTCAATGTGTGTTGACCAGGATAGATTCGGAGTGAAATTAATGCCAAAGTACTTGCAGTAGTCCACCGCAAATATAGGTTTATTGTTAAGATGTATACATCGAGTTTCACTGCTTTCGGCTGAACGTCATTAGTTTGCGTTTTTCAGTGTTAACTATGATCTGCCACTTTGAACACCAAATTGTAATAAAGTTGAGATCCTGTTGTAGTGCCAGATGATCTGCCGAAGTTTGAATTATGCGGTATATGATGCAATAATCGGTGAACAGTTCAATGTTTGATGTGATATGAGATGGGAGGTCATTATAGTCGATGAGGAATAATAATGGACCCAGGACACCGACCTGGGGAACTCCATAATTAACGCCATATAGTAACATCAAATTTCGTCAGATAGCAACGTCCAGGAGTAACGTGAGATTTAGTCTGTGGATTACTTGTGACGTATTTCCAGCTTTAAAATGTGCATAACGTTTTGATATATGGCTGCAAACTATAGACATTACCTTGAGTGAAGTTGCCGTTCTGGCAATAGTTCACCTTGTCTCCTTACTGATGTGTGCGATGTAAACATTTCGCTTTATTTGCCTGATGGTTTTATTAATACTTGCATTTTTCAACGTTTATCTCGTCAACATACAGAAGTAGAGCAAAAACTGATTCCTAACAGAACAACAGGCTGCATCAGAAAAAAAAAAACATGTTGATGTGTCCAAACAAAGAACTCCATAGAATAGACCAATTTGTATTCCAGCACACTATGCTGACGCACTGTTGCAAGACGGCATCATTTTCATCACTGGGCTCGCAGCAGAAAATGATTGGCTCTTTCTTTGTCTTGCTACACTCCGATTACAGCCGTGCTATGTATAATGAAGTTTTTTCGACATGTAGAGAACACGAACCCAATTTAACGATCTTGTTATCCTACTATAAGCGACGTGGCTTTCACTCGAGAGCATCCCCTTACACGACCTGACCTTCTTTTGCAAAATGCTGGCTCGACACGAGGCAGCTGCACTTTCAGTAGGTTGCTTCACCGCCACAGACAACGAGGAGAACAGACGTAGGCGTGGGCTCTGACCGCGGTCCTTGCCAGAAATAGCAGGTCTTGCAAAATGTCTTGGACATGCGTGTGCCATGCGCGTGGCACAATGGATAACTTCTGCGCAAAGCTTATTGTGATGAGATTATTTAGAGCGTTCTCTGATCTATATTTTCTTCTTAGAAGCCTGTGTAAGAAGATAGTGAACACAAAAGCAAAATAAATAGTTAATAATAATTCGAAAGGAACGTAATGCACGTTGCGAGTGTTTCGCGACATACGTGATTGTCAATACGTTCTTTCAAAGGGCCTTGGAACACCATTCTGAGTTAGAATAGAATAATATCACTGTTGGTACATGGCCCTTCACAAATTACACACCACAGGATATTTCAGAATTGGTGAAGTACGAACGTGATTACAGCTATTTGTCGAAGGCCTCACGAGCCTTCTTTCTCTTTCAGTGCCAGCGAGAGCGCTGAAAGCTACGTAGTGAGGGGTTTGACAGATGTGCAAGAAGATTCGTCCCCTCAACAGTGCACTTCATGACCTTCAGCACTTACTTTTGTTTTTCTTCGAACTGGCGGCTTACTTTCAGCGTGACCTTGAGCGTGAGTGTGTGGCGGCATCCCGCGGAGTCCACGGTAACTACTCTACAAATCCACCAAACGTCGGGGACGTGGGCGTATGGCGCGAAAATTTGTGTCGATGGAATCAATGTAGATAGAAGAGAGAGAGAGATTTCTGGTTGGCTTTTACAATTGATAGCAAATTATAGGCCGCGCGCCATACTGCAATCATTGGCTCGCGTATCCTCAGAAGCCTCGACTACTGACCGGCAGCGTTTTCTAACCATTCTGAACAAGTGTTCCAGCGCCCCTTTAAGGCGAAGTGTTCCGCTTTTTTTTATTGATATAAACAACCGTGTTTACCAAAGCAGGTTGTGACGTACGCATAGAGTGCTGATAGGTTGAGCTGCCTTTTAAGTTAAATCGTTGTGGCTAATAATTTATTTTCGGACGCAAAGGAAAAGCTGCGAATTCGAGTGGTCATGGTCTTTTTAAACAATTGAGAACGTCTGAAGTGTGAAATATGTTTATCGTGAATTGCGGGATAATAGAAAGGTTTGTTATAAAAGCCACGTCTCATAAAAACTGTTATAAAAGCCACGTCGTGTGCCTAGCCGAGCACAAGCTGCTTAACCAACACGGGCATCGCATTCAACGAACGGTAACAATCTACGACTGTATGAACACAGTGCACTAGATTACTGCAATACAGGGAGATTAAAAGCTGACACAAGAATTTTGAAAAACGTTGTACTGCTTATATATGACTACTGGCAACGGTACGGCCACTCAACCATGCCTGCATAAAATATATATATATATATATGCAGGCATGGTTGAGTGGCCGTACCGTTGCCAGTAGTCAAGTAGATCCTCCGGGCGCGGACACAACGTGGTTCATTTCGACGTTTCGGCCTACAGTCTGGCTCAGCTTTATACAATCGTAAATCAGAGGGGAATCCTAAATCAGATTGTATAAAGCTGAGCACCAACAAACTGTACCCTCAATCCTGATGAAGAAAAGTTGAAATAAACCACGTTGGGACCGCTCACGGAGGATATATATATATATATATATATATATATATATATATATATATATATATATATATATATATATATATATATATATATATATATATATATATATATATATATATATATATATATTTGTTTGTTTGTTTATTATAACTGTGTTCCCGCGAAGATTGCCCGTTGTTTTCGATTTTCAGTTTTCTTAACGAAGGGTTACTATGATCCTGCGACACTCTACGTGTTCGTAAGTAAACGAGAACACTAATGTACGAGACGTAAGAAATATAAGGTGTGACATTAGGATCCAGCTCACGCGAGTTTCAGAACTTCTCCTTTCTGCTTGTCGCCCCGCCGTGGTGGTCTAGTGGCTAAAGTACTCGGCTGCTGACCCACAGGTCACTGGTTCGAATCCCGGCTGAGGCGGCTGCATTTTCGATGGAGGCGGAAATGTTGTAGGCCCGTGTGCTCAGATTTGGGTGCACGTTAAAGAACCCCAGGTGGTCGAAATTTCCGGAGCCCTCCACTACGACGTCTCTCCTAATCATATGGTGGTTTTGGGACGCTAAACACCACATATCGATCAATCAATCCATCCATCCTGTTTGTCACACAACAAACACACCACAAAAGTTTTTATGGTTGTGTAGCAAAGCAGTGCACTCTGTGGCCTCATCGGTAGCGTAACGCAAGCTGGGGAGTTGAGGAGAAATTTCCCCCACAGCTAGGCTGATGTTTGTCTAAGCCATATGAGTGCCACGTCTACAAGCTTGTGTTCGCCTCTGGAACAGTTAGCTCTGAATATTTATTACCATTGTTAGAGATAGTGCGGTACATGTGAAAGCTAATCTGGCGCAATACAAAATGGGTCATTAAAGATCTTATGAGAAGTGTCAAGATATATGCCGTATTAATGTCTATATTCGTTGTAACTATAGATCCTAATAAAGAAATTGGAACTGCAGCCACATTAAGTTCTTATTTTGGAGCTACTTTTTTGGGCCCTTCATCATACGGTGTTGAATTTTTGTTCACAGCGCTGTCGTTAGGTGCTTGAGTCGTTCGAGGAGAATATTGTGGTGTTCCAGCAGTCGTAGAAGCAGGGCCAGTTGGTTTTACACCCGCTTGGCCGAAATTGCTGGGAGGAGTAGTCCATGGAGGGCACCTGCCGAAGCGGTCCTGGTAGCAATGGGAGCCCCAGCAAAAGCCAAGAGGCCGGTTAGGCCAGCCCTACATAGAAGTGCGAGAAAATGAATGTAAATACAATTAAATGTGGTTAGGAAATAATATATTTTGTTCAGATTGAATGAGTATTTTGAGTCATGTACATAATTTAGTACACTACTTCTCACTTCTTCCATCGACTAGAGGCTGAAAAAGAGCAAGGCGTATGAAGCTTTGGGAGAATTGAACCTTCTGCATATTTACTTTGCATTCAAGTTCATCTTTGAGTGAACGATTGTGTGTGATCGCTTCGCTGACTAATTTATTTTTGCTCAAAATGGACATAACAAAAAATGATTTATACTATATTTAAAGCCCGAGATCTCATTCTAAATATGACAAAAAATAGAATCACTGTTTTCAGGAAAGATATATTTTTACAGCCTAATTAGGATTAGTTACTACAACAGACATAGCTGGACATTTATTTTCGTTGCAACGTTGCATCGACTAACTTGAAATAACGTTGTATTAATGTGACACAGTTATAGACAGTACCTCAAAGATGGCGTCTGAGAGAGTTAAGGCAATCCTTCGTTTTTTTTACACATTTTGAAATAGTTGCTTCCACCTAATGAAAAATCGGCTAACAGGCTTACATTGATCCCTACAAAATTTAAGGAGATATAAATAAAGAATTATCTTTATGTCAGAATATATTTTCCTCTGATTACACGAAATTTCATGTTTTCACCTTCGCTATAGTAAAAGTGGACTTTGTACAGCATCCTTAGCTACGTGTTGCCTTCTCTGAAGGCACCCTTAGCTAGGTCAAATATTATCATTTTAGGCAGTGGCTTAGTCACAAGTGTTTTTGTGTGGTAGAGACTATCTTACCGCATTTACGTATGTTTAGGCACGTGTTTTTTCGTATGTTTTCCTGTACGAAGGCAACCATTGACATCTCAGTGGAGGGGCACCTCATAAAACCCCCTCCTGATTAAAATCTCTTAGAAGATATTGTTACGGTGCATCATCGACAGGAGCAAGCGTGGCACTTAGCGAAGATGAAGAAGACGCCTGTGCATTAGGCGCTTGCACGAGAGGCAACTCAGACATCTTGTTCGGCTGCCGACTCTCGGTGGACGCTGTCCTGTAAGCCAAGACCTCGCTCCGTCACATTTGGTGGAGGTGCTGGGTAACCGCCTCGCAACGGAACTTCGCAGCGGCCGACGTTTGAAGGGTCATTCCACAACGATGACGGAGAGTACGGCGTCTGCATCTGCTCCTGGTGTTCCTGCGGCCGGAGATGATGCGGTAACTACATCTCCTTCTGCGACCACAACCTTTGTGCTCGAACCCCCGCGGGATCCTGGCACGTTCAGCGGTTCCGGCGATCCAGATGAAGTTGATGTTGAAGATTGGCTGGCAGAGTACGAACGTGTGAGTACTCGATACCGATGGGGCCCGACTCTTATGCTGGCAAACCTGTTATTCTATCTTAGGGGAACCGCCAAATCGTGGTATGAGAACCATGAAACAGAACTTGTGAGTTGGGCAGTGTGCAGGGAGAAAATGCTAGACCTGTTCGGAAAGCCGATTGGAAGAAAAATGGCCGCGAACAAAATGCTCGCGTCTCGGGCGCAGACCTCGACCGAGTCTTACGTCTCCTATATAGAAGATGTGTTGTCGTTGTGTCGCAAAGCCAATGCCGATATGCCGGAGGCTGACAAGGTCGGGCATATTCTTAAGGGGATTGCGGATGACGCATTCAACCTCCTCATCTGCAAAAATTTTTCTACAGTGGACGCCATTATAAAAGAATGTCGGCGCTTTGAGCAAGCGAAGAGCCGGCGGATTAACAGCGTGTTCACCCGCCTTCCGAATACGGCTGCAACGTCATCTTGCGAAGACCGTGCAAGAACACAGCCACCACCTCTAGATTCATCGGATCAGGTGACCCGAATTGTACGGCGCGAACTTGAAGCCATTGCCTCTGCTCCGGCTCACACCGCTGCAAGTGACACCACCCCACTCACTGCTAACATGGTTCAAGCCATCGTCCGCCAAGAACTCGCCAGCTTAGGTATTCCCTCGGTGTGCGCTTTGCCCAGCCCGCAGCGAGCTTCATGGCGTCCACCCTCGTCCTATCGCGAGCAGCAGTTCACGGCCCGATCTCGCGACCCTGCGGCGTGGAGAACCGTCGACAATCGACCAATTTGTTTTCATTGCCACCGTATCGGTCATGTCGTCCGTTACTGCAATTACCGCTGGTCCTCGCCACCTCGGACTTCATCTCAACCTCACTACCGACAGGACAGCACCCGCTTCGCGTCTGCCGTGCAGCCTTCTCCGCAAAACAACTACAGAAGGTTCAACAGCCGATCTCCGTCACCGCATGGTCATCAGTCGCGTTCGCCTCCAGGACGTCGCCAGTCGTCTCGCTCACCGCTGACTCGCAGGCCGTCATCTCCATTCAACCCCGCTCCTGCCTACCCGGAAAACTAAACGGTGCAGCGCCCGGAGGTGACGCTGCATCTTCGACTCCCTCCACAAATCCTCTCTTGACGCTTCCGACGAGACAAAATTTGTTAGACGTTGCCGTTGACGGTGTGCCTATTTCTGCCCTTATAGATACTGGAGCGCTCATTTCTGTAATGAGTGCGAACCTTCGCCGACGCCTACATAAAGTGCTCACGCCTGCCGCTTCCCACAAACTTCGTGTCGCTGATGGGAGGACCCCTGATGTTCAAGGGATGTGCACGGCCCGTGTGTCCATTGCTGGTCATCCTACATTAGTTCAGTTTGCCGTCATTGAAATGTGTCCTCATGACCTAATACTTGGTTTGGACTTCCTGTCACGTCATTCTGCGCTCATTGATTGTGCCACTGGTGCTCTTCAGCTTGAACTGCCGCAGTTTGCCGATTTTCCAGCAGACTATTCTCCCCGTTTACGCTCTCGTCACCACGTTCGCTTGCCTCCGCAAGCTGCTACATATGTCACTTTGTCGTGCTCACGTCATGTGCCCGACGGTGACTACCTCGTCACTCCTATAGTCGACGTACTGATGGCCCGAGACGTCGCCCTTGCTCACACTGTTGTCGCCGTCGCTAATAATACAGTGGTTATACCACTACTCAACGTGAGTCTCTTGACTCAAGTTATTCCGCAAGACATGTCTTTGGCCACCCTATCTCCACTTGACAGCTGCAACGTTACTGGTTTGGACACCGATACTACATCCCCTTGTCTTGGCCGCAATTACACTCTGCCTGCAGATGACATTAACAAGATGATTGCTCCCGACCTCACTGCAGTGCAAGCTGCCAGCCTCCGTAGTCTGCTAACATCATATAGAGACGTTTTCGACTTTGACCACCGCCCTCTCAGCCAAACAACTGCAGTGACTCACCGGATCAACACTGGTAATGCCAGTCCTATACGGCGGCGTCCATATCGCGTATCTCACAAGGAACGCCAAGTAATCCAAAATGAAGTGGATAAAATGATTACTAAAGACGTAATAGAACCCTCATCCAGCCCCTGGGCCTCCCCAGTCGTGCTCGTTCAGAAGAAAGATGGCAGCTGGCGCTTTTGCGTGGACTATCGCCATTTAAACAAAGTGACCCACAAAGATGTCTACCCTTTGCCTTGGATCGATGACGCCCTCGATTGCCTCCATGGTGCCCAATACTTTTCGTCTATCGACCTTCGATCCGGCTATTGGCAAATTTCCGTCGACCCCATGGATCGTGAAAAAACCGCTTTCGTTACGCCCGACGGCCTCTACCAGTTCAAAGTCATGCCGTTTGGACTGTGTAATTCGCCGGCAACTTTCGAGCGCATGATGGACTCCCTTCTCCGAGGATATAAGTGGTCCATCTGCTTATGTTATTTAGACGATGTCATCGTTTTTTCGCCCACCTTTGACAGCCATATAACACGTCTGTCAGCTGTTCTGGATGTTTTTCGAAGAGCTGCTCTCCAGCTCAATTCTGCAAAATGCCATTTCGGACGTCGCCAAATCACCATACTCGGCCACCTTGTCAGTGCCGATGGTGTTCAACCAGATCCCGAAAAGGTGCGAGCAGTACAACAATTTACTGAACCACGCTCAACCAAGGACGTCCGAAGTTTTGTAGGGCTATGTTCCTATTTTCGTCGATTTGTCCGCAACTTCGCCGACATCGCTCGACCGCTTACTGATCTCTTAAAGAAGGACGTTCCCTTCGCATGGGGTATAGAGCAAGCGGACGCCTTTTCGGCTCTTATCCATCTGCTGACTACGCCACCAGTACTGGCCCATTTCGACCCAGCATCACCTACAGAGCTTCGGACCGATGCCAGTGGCCATGGAATTGGAGCCGTCCTTGGCCAACGACAGCACGGGAAGGACCGCGTGATTGCCTACGCCAGTCATCTTCTTTCACCTGCCGAACGGAAGTTCTCCATCACTGAGCGTGAATGCCTAGCTTTAGTGTGGGCCGTGGCGAAATTCAGGCCTTACCTGTATGGCCGAACTTTTTCCGTTGTTACGGACCATCACGCTCTTTGCTGGCTGTCATCGCTAAAGGACCCATCTGGACGTCTTGGTCGCTGGGCGCTCCGTCTGCAAGAATACTCATTCGTGGTCCACTACAAGTCGGGACGCCTCCACACAGACGCAGACTGTTTGTCACGTTATCCGGTTGAAACGCCCGACTTGACAGACCTTGATTCAGACCCCTGCGTTCTCTCCATCCACGCTTTGGGTGATATCTCCACCGAACAACGACGTGACCCGTCGTTACTCTCCATTATCGAGCGTCTGACCTCCGCTCCGACAGACCCTTCCGTTCGCCTGTTCGAACTGCACGACAACATTTTGTACCGTCGCAGCTTCAACGCTGATGGCCCGGAATTACTACTCGTGCTTCCCCATCACCTGCGTACCAGCGTTCTCGAACAACTACATGACGTACCTACAGCCGGTCACCTAGGCGTCTCTCGTACCTACGATCGTGTGCGACGTCGCTTTTTCTGGCCCGGACTGTATCGTTCTGTGGTTCGCTACGTCACTGCTTGCGACCGCTGCCAACGCCGCAAGCGCCCCTCTGTGCTACCGTCTGGCCTCCTACAGCCCATTGACATACCAACGGAACCATTCTTCCGTGTTGGCCTTGACCTGTTGGGCCCGTTTCCTACGTCCACCTCCGGAAATAAATGGGTTGCAGTCGCCACAGACTACGCCACACGCTTTGCCATCCCTAAAGCACTGCCGACAAGCTGTTCCACTGACATCGCTGACTTTCTCTTGTATGAAGTCATTCTTCATCACGGCGCTCCGCGGCAGCTGCTTACTGATCAAGGAAGGTACTTTCTTTCACGTGTTGTGGATGATATTCTCCGCGCCTGCTCCACTGAGCACAAGCTTACCACCGCTTATCATCCACAGACAAATGGATTGACCGAGCGTCTGAACCGAACGCTGACGCAGATGCTGTCAATGTACGTTTCGCCAGATCACCGTGACTGGGACAAAGCACTCCCCTTTGTCACGTTCGCGTACAATTCTTCACGGCACGACACAGCTAGTTATTCGCCGTTTTATTTGCTATTTGGCCGACATCCAGCATTACCATTTGACACGCTCCTTCCTTCGGCTGCCCCCTTGTCTACTGAGTACGCCAGCGATGTCGTTTCTCGAGCCCATGCAGCCCGTCAGCTTGCCCGTAATCGGCTGCACTTGTCGCAAGCGCAGCAAAAAGACCGCTATGACAGTCGCCACCAAAGCGTGCACTTCTCGCCGGGGTCTCTGGTACTTCTCTGGACACCAAACCGCCAAGTCGGCTTATCAGAGAAGCTACTATCACACTACCATGGCCCCTACAAAGTGTTACGACAACTTAGTGACGTGAGCTACGAGATCGCACCCCTGAACAATGCCTTTTCGACCACCTCACTCCAGACAGACGTTGTACACGTTTCCAGACTGAAACCGTATCACCCTCCTCGTTCGTCGCCGCCGTACTAAGCGCCATGACGGCGCTTCCGCCGCAGGGGAGTGATGTTACGGTGCATCATCGACAGGAGCAAGCGTGGCACTTAGCGAAGATGAAGAAGACGCCTGTGCATTAGGCGCTTGCACGAGAGGCAACTCAGACATCTTGTTCGGCTGCCGACTCTCGGTGGACGCTGTCCTGTAAGCCAAGACCTCGCTCCGTCACAATATGGATACAAATGTTCAAATTTCTTGAGGAAGAACTTGGAGTTATTACAACAGATTTCTGTGGGGGATTCTTGTGACGTGGACAAGGAAACAGTGACTTGCCACTTAGATTGGTACTTGCATGCGGGCTTCTTTTTACGCCCAAAAGTTCACAGGTGAAGCAGTCACTTAACTTGTGCGCTACAGCGACATGTTTCCTGGGGGCTGCTAAAATCGAAGAAGCGATGAGCAATAGTTACGTCATGTACTGTCACGTCTCAAAGATATGCGCATGGTAACTTCGCATACCAACCGAAATTTGTATTACGTCTGAAAGGCCCCCTATTACGGTACTTCAACGGAGTTTCACCTCACCTAAGTACAAAAATAAAAGAATTTCTTACAATTTGTCTGGGTATTGAAATAACCCGAAACTGTTGATTCAGTTGGTAGTGAGAGCGTATGGTATAAAATTTACTTACGAGGCACGGAGTACCGTAAGATTCGAGCTTTCGGTGAACCCTATTTCTCTCTTCGTCATAGCAATGAAACCAGCACTGTTTGGCTGGTTTCTGCTCGGTGGGCTGGAAAGGACAAATAAAATCACACCAGGGGTTAGTGGAAATCTTGAAAAACCTAATACACAGTTTCAGCGTGCCGCTTATGAAGCAGGAGGCTTATTCAGAGCAAACTAAAACATAAAATTAAAAACGAAGGCTTCATTTATACTAAGAAAAACGTTTCTACTGTAATTAAACTTCAAATTGATCATCCAAAACTCCTGTATAAAGTGACGATGACATAAACTGTTAGCTCAATCAAACTCAGGTGGGCCGCAATGAGGTTCCACACTCTTCCGGGTAGTAAGCCAAATAATAGGTTGTGTAATGTGTGTGTGTGTGTGTGTGTGTGTGTGTGTGTGTGTGTGTGTGTGTGTGTGTGTGATTGTGTGTGCGTGTGTGCGTGTCTGTGTGTGTGTGTGAGTGTGTGTGAGTGTGTGTGTATGTGCGTGTGTGTGCGTGTGTGTGCGTGTGTGTGTCAGTGTGTGTGATTGTGTGTGTGATTGTGTGTGTGTGAGTGTGTGTGTGTGTGTGTGTGTGTGTGTGTGTGAGTGTGTGTGATCGTGTGTGTGTGTGATTGTGTGTGGTGTGTGTGTGATTGTGTGTGTGTGTGTGTGTGAGTGTGTGTGTGTGTGTGTGCGTGTGTGTGTCAGTGTGTGTGATTGTGTGTGTGTGAGTGTGTGTGTGTGTGTGTGTGAGTGTGTGTGATCGTGTGTGTGTGTGATTGTGTGTGTGTGTGTGTGTGTGTGTGTGTGTGTGTGTGTGTGATTGTGTGTGTGTGTGATTGTGTGTGTGTGTGTGAGTGTGTGTGATTTTGTGTGTCTGTGTGTGATTGTGTGTGTGTGTGTGTGTGTGTGCGTGTGTGTTCTTAATCTTATATTACTGTTCTTAATTTTTATAAACGACATCGTTAATGTAATAACAGAGCCGCTTCATATACGCTTATTTGCAGATGATTGCATATTGTACCATTAGGTTGTTTGTCTAGAGGATAAGGAACTTCTGAACACTAACTTTCATAACATTCATTTTTGGTGTCAAAAATCTAATATTAAATTAAATAAAACAAAAAAGTTTGCAAGCATATTAAGAAAAAACTAAATAAAAAGTTGTTTTCTTACATTCTTCCAGCAAATCCCCTAGTTGAGGTACCTAAATATAAAAACTTGGGAGTGACTATAGCTAACATCAGTTGGAATTCCCTTATAGCTAACATTTGTGCTTCTTCTTTTCACAAACTTTGTGTTCTGCGATACAAACTGAAACAGGCGCCCCCAGAAACCAAGCCTCACGCATATAAAGCGTTAATTAGGCCAAAATTGGAATACGCCTGTGACTTGCGGGAGCCGCACACCAACTACAATATAGCAGCACTTGAGGTGGTTCAGCGCAAAGCTGTAAGTTTTATTTTTCTAAATACCATAAAACCAACTCACCAACAGCAATTATGCGTATAATAGAATACAGACTTTGAAATTACGACGATAAATACTCAGGCTTAATTTCCCCTGAAAAATAACAAGTTAACCTTTCATCCCGATCTCTACCTACGCCAGTCAAGAACAAAACAAACCGGACATCAAGACTCTGAAATCCTAACTGCATATCAAACAAGAATTGACACCGTCAAGTTTGTTTCCACCCCACCGCGGTGGTCTAGTGGCTAAGGTACTCTGCTGCGGACCCGCAAGTTGCGGTATTGAATCCCGGATGCAGCCGCTGCATTTCTGATGGAGGCGGAAATGTTGTAGGCCCGTGTGGTCAGGTTTGGGTGCACGTTAAAGAACCCCAGGTGGTCAAAATTTCCGGAGCCCTCCACTACGGCGTCTCTCATAATCATATGGTGGTTTTGGGACGTTAAACCCCACATACCAATCAATCATCAATTTTGTTTCCCTCGCACTATTAATTAATAGAATGCACTATCATCATCATTGCTAAAATCAGTTGAGTCGATCGACACAATTACTGATATGTAAAGTGCAAATTGATTTGTATGTGTTTGTTTGTTCTTGTTTTTTTACCTTTCGAAAACTTTGTATTTGGTTTTGTCATTTCACTCCTTCTGCCTGGACCCTGAGGGCCTGCAGTATGTTGTAAGCAAAATAAAATAAATAAAAACATCAAAAAACCTTTCGCCAGATCTCACCATTTTGTGATCCGACAAGAGCTAAACGGGGTGTTCACGACCATGTCTGCCAAAATTCACAACGTGACGCGCTGCGGAAATGGGTGAGATTTCAAGCCGTACGTTGCCCGCATTTCTGGCTGGCGCGCCCCAAGAGAATTGGGGGGATCACATTCGAGAAGGAATAACCCTTCATAGTTGCTAGAGCTTTCACATCGCGCGTCTTCGTCAACACCTGTGCTCTGACTTGAACCACAGTAGCGCGTGATTTACAGTTTCTGTAATTTGTTGCCTGCATAGATGAATATGACATGAGAGCAATGATAAAACACACAGACGGAATGTGGGTGTGTGTTGTTTTTTTATTTTTTATTGCAAATAGCAGCGATATGCGGGACTAATCTGCCTCCGCTTTGCACGCCTTCGTGTGCTCGCTCTTGGCACATTGTGAGGCGCCACTCGTTAAAATGGAACAAATTTTCCGCCGCGTTCCAGCGCTCATTATACTCGTTCATTCAACTAGCTCTAAGTAAATTTAAATGCGGCACTGGCTGATGTACCGTTATAGTGTTGTGTGCGCACAAATGTCGCGGTTTTCATGCCCAGTAATAGAGTGAATGCTAAGTGGTCGGCGAGGGCGCATTCGACATATCTTGCACAGATGCAGCGCAGAGAACACCGCCACAACACCACTGGCGTTTCGGGTATTCGGGTTGGTTTGGGTAGAGGATTTATTCCTGCTCGGGTATAGAGCAAGTGGGTATTGGGGCAATTGGGGTAGAGCGTCACCTATAGTACAGACACGTCATGCACCCGTTACCTTGTGTGCTCGTAACGCGTTCATTCGCATGCGTCATGGATCCTCCCATTCACGTGCCGAAAAGGGCAAGGAATGAATTTGGCTCGCGAAAGTTGCATAGGGTGAGTGGCAAGGGTTTCAAGCTCGCCTCCTGTAATCATGGTTCCGCGCCACTTCAAAATATTGCTTTTTTTCATCCTCTAATGGACCTATAAAACAAATTTTTGTGGTATAACTCTTTTAGGGGCGAAGCTCCTTATAGCGACATTTGTTCGTCCCTCGTAGCCGTTGTAGTAGTGTGTAACAAGTATAACATTTTGACCTCCCAGGTGGTGCCGGTGAGAGATTTCTTCTGTGCCTTGTTGAACAACAAAATAAAATACTCAATGTACATGGCAATGGCTGCTAAGTGAGAATGAGAAACATGAGAATTCGGCTTTTGGTTAACGCGCACGCTGCGAAGTTTTTATTGTTCAACAACGCAGAGAAGACAAGAAAGGGTTGCTACGTTATAATCGCTGGGCGTAACCTCCTGGGTTTCAGAAAGGTTTAGCGAGCGTTGGGCCGCAGTGCCATGAATACAGTGAACTAGCATATACCATGAACTCGAGGTAGTTAAAGGTGGGAAGTAGACACGAAGCGCAAGCCGTAAGAAAGTGTGCGTGTGCCTCCTCTCGTTCAGCCCCTGGAATGTCCGCTGAATGGCGGTGCTTCTATATGAGGAATATGTGATGAAAAAATGCGAGATGCTGGTACTTGGAGTGTTGGATAGGTGGGCGAACGTACACACAGAGGGATGCATGGGTGGACGCATGGATGGCTGCACGGACGGATGGACGCATGGACGAACGCAGGAGCGGATGCATGGACGGAAGCAGGGACGGACGCACAGATGAACGTGCGGACGCATGAACAGACGCACGAATGGACGGGCGGTGGACGCACGGGCGGCCACACAGACGCACGCATGGACGGACGGATGCTTCGCCCCACAATCCATCATTCACTCCGTGGATATGCTGCCATTCTTTTATTGCGTGCGCAATAACTACGACTGCTTAACTGAAATTCGTTATGTCATCTGGTGAGGGGCCCTTCAATGACCTTAAAGTTTGCTACCGTAGTCCTCATAGGCCTTGTTAATCGATATTTTAACCGAACAAGCAGTTCAGGGAACAAGTTAAGGCGTGTGTTATGCTGAAAGGTATGCGCTTAGGATGAAAAAGCTCTCCAATTGTTGTGTATTTCAATTCGTTCTGAAGTTCAATAAAAATATTTTGGTCCACATTAAATTATTTCTTTGAGCTGCAATAGTGACTAGAAATGAAATAAAACATCTCTGTGCATTGTAAGCGCTTACACTCCCGTACCTATTGACAGTTGTTAGTTTATAATTGTACTATGAACGATGGACATCCTACGGACTTGGACACTTGTTTAAATGTGTAATGTATGTTGTGCTTTGTCTTTTGTTTGTTATTGTGCCTGTTATACAGATGCTTGTCCCTTAGCCTTGTTGCGTCCCAGGAGAGAATAAACTTTTTCTAAACACAATTGTACTTGTTTTCAGGCCTGCCTAGTATCGGTAGGTTAATTTTTATTTAGTACTCGTACAAATACCTTGTAAATAATATGTAAATACCTGACACATAGATCTCTACATTTCATTTGTGTGTTCTTCGTTTACCATGTACTGTGAATATGTAGACATTGTTTTTGTAACAATTCCTGTGTAGTTGTGTATGTTGTGTTCCGTTTACTTATGTAAACATATCTTTTTGTAACAACTTTTGGTGTGTCTGTGGATGTTGTGTTCGGTCGCAATGTTCTGTTGGATTGTAATTGATGTTCACTGTCTGTGAGAATAAATTTCTCTAAACATAATTGTACAGTCGAAGTGTCGTGGTAGCAGTTCTCTTCAAGTCAACCTGCGAGACAGGGGGTAACGTCATGCTGACGTATGCCCCCGGCCCCTCTCAAGACAGAAGACGTCCTATGTATTAACCATTTCGTGACTATGCAAAATGAGACACTGGATGGATGGCAACCATAGATAAAAAGGTGCTACCCTCTTAAAGACCTAGTATATTATGCATTCGTCTAACTTGTTTAGAAAGCCGACTGTTGTGACTTTTTTGTTGTTTACGTTGTACGACGCCAACGATGGCTTCTCTCTTTTTTTCCTTTCTCAGTCATGTGAATGCTGAATAGATGTAGCGAACGCGCAGCTCAATGGCCTGCTTCGATCGACAAGGCGAGTGGGTGGTGATGTGACTAAGAGGCGTAGCCAGAAATTGTTTTCAAAGAGGGGGTGGAGGGCCAACACCCACCTTGATTGTGGGAAGGGCGCCCCTTGAAATGGTCATTTTTTGCGCTCTATGCAATGGCGAAAAAACATTTCGAGGTGGGGTTGAGGCCACGAGTCTGGTATTACACAGGCCCTTGCCTTGGATTACAGTGATATGGGCAAAACATAACGTATATTTGTTCTGCGACAATGATAACTAGAACCGTGCGCTGTTCTACTAGCAAGCATAAAACTTTATAATAGCAAAAAAATGTCCGTGCCCAAATTAAAAGTAGTGATGACTACACTACATGGCAGCCTCGGAAATTAAAAAAATACAGCATATGTATTGTAAATTGTTGCACGTACCTGTTTGCCCAGCCTTTGGCAATGTTTCCACGTCTCCCTTTGAAAACTCTCTAAAACGTTAAGGCAAATGAGGCAAAAAATTTTGGTCAATCACATCGCTCAGCATAGGAATCTTCATATTTCCAGCAAACACTACTGTTTTATTGAATTGCTAGTTCAAGAATCGCTCCAATAGTATTGTGTGTATGTTATTTTACCTAAGCGCATTCACCGACCAGCTACTATTGTGCTGCCATCTAGTAACGTGTGCATACAACACAGGCGCTTTTGGCGCGAATTACAATCGGTTCTAGAATGTAGACCCAGCTTCGTGAATGCAATAGAGTCAACTACTACTGCGCAAAGACAAGAATAGCACGACCTTCACATTTTCTTAAACTGCTTCGTCATTAGGCACTCCTGCATACATCCGCCTCACTGCACGATGCATAGAAAACCTTGGTCTAAATGCGGCGCTGGAAACGAAAGGTTTTAATGTATGGTCACACAAGAACAATAATATTATTTTGAATAGTATCATGCATAATGCCCTGAACTCTGTAGTAAGAGGTGCACCTCTGTCAATATGATTTATCACCTTGAATATGATCAAAGGAATCAATGAGTGATCTTCGTATTTGTCGTCTCAGGGGCTCACAATTGCCAGTTCCTAATGTTTAGTCAAGCCAGCACAAAATCAAGGCTTTCTCTTTCGAAGGATAACCGCTTAATGAGCAGCAGGAAGATTGTGGCGCTAGTGCTCTTATACGGCACTTGTGGTTGTGCTGTACACAGGTACACCTCGTAAATACCTCCCGCTTAGCGCCATTAATTACCCCGAGGACTTAAAAAAAGAGTTTATGATTTTGTTCGAGGTGATTCTGATGTTCACCAACAAATTCCGGAGTCTAATAAGAATCGTGCACAGCAAACTTTTCATTTCACCACTGCATACGCATGAGCCCATGTACTGACATTTGCCTCGTCCATTTACCTTTTCTCTTTCTCCTCTCTCTCTCTCTCGCTGTCATCTTTACGCTCCCCTTTCCCATTTCCCCGGCCTAGGGTAGCCAACTGGACATGTACCTGGTTAACATGCCTGCCTTTTCTCTTCTTGTTCTCCCTTCCTCCTCCTCATGTTCATAATGTTGGTTACTTACACTCTTTTGTTCGTATTATACTACAAATAACCAAGAAGTAATCCTTAAGAAAAAAACAATATAGAAAGGTAAACGTTTATTAATGGCATTTAGGAAAAACGCATGTATATCAACAGCATGTGTCCTCGGGTCCTCGGGCATACTCAGCACGAACGAAACATTAAGCACTTTCCTATGTCTGATTTGCATACGGCTCTAACTTCTAAGAAAATAACGTAACGATAGCAGTAAATAAGTCAGACATTCTGTTTCATGATCACATTTTTCGTAATATATAGAAATGTATTTTGCGGCTCAAATCAAGTGTTATGCACCATCTCGATACTCTTTCAGGGGGTTCTTTGTAAAAGTGTCTGCGTAAAAGGCACTCATTTGAGAAGTCGTATGTATCATTAGTGCTTATTTCACTCCCAAAGCAACACTATTTATGCGGGTACAACACTATCTCTCAGCCGAAATTCACCACGTTCAGAAGAAGTAGGTAAGTCTGGGAGAATATGCTCGGTATTTGACACAGCAGCGGCCAAAATTGGGATGTTACGAGCAGTATGTTGTACTGAAAGACATCTCGGTGCAGACAGTGGGCATTACAACCTTGGTTTGTGCACACATTTTCTTGGACTTCCTTTATATGCGCTGTAATCCTAATCATGTTGAACAATCCAGCACAATCTTCAATCTTACTAATTTACATGACGTTTTGGTTTGACTTTGTTCTGAGCTCGTTGCGCAGTTTTCGTGGTTTTAATCACTAATCAATATCGCCAATTCTTGCCGTGGAAAATAGGAAAAGCTAACCTGTATTACATTTCGTCCCCATCAGAACGCTTACAACTCCGACTTACCGACAAGACCTGCAGAGACAGCGAGAAAGATCAGCATTAGTCTCGCCATTTTAACCAAAGGAGAGGACTGGCCTTAGCTCCAACATATACCTGCTTCTTTGTTTACAGACCTCAGTGCACCTGTACGAATGTGTCCCAGCCCTTACGTATTGTCTGATGGCATGAGAACTTTCGCACATACTTATCATGACAAATATAGGTTTTCGCATTCGTATTCGCTGTTCTACTCGACAGCTGTGAAAAGCGTGCCGTAAACAAATGCGTTGAAAAATGAGACCTCCACAGTGCAATCACTGAAGAACGCAAAGAAAGAACGCATGACCGTTCTGTCACTTTTACAGGGGCGAAGCTCCTTATGGTCTAGGGCAACCCTGCGTCCTTCCGGCGGCGGCGTCATCCCAGCATATACAGACAGACAGACAGACAGACAGACAGACAGACAGACAGACAGACAGACAGACAGACAGACAGACAGACAGACAGACAGACAGACAGATTGCCTTTTCGCCCAACTCATTCACATTCCCTCCATGGATAGGCTGAAATTTTGGGGGTGAAGCTCCTTATGCCGTGTGTTGTGCGTCCATGATGTGTAGACCTTTGACTGTTAGCAAACAGGCCCATTATGGCACCCGATTTCGTCTGCCGATCTGCCATAATAGCATTGGCATAGAGAAAGAAGAAGACAAGAGCGGACACTCCGCTAAACCTGGCCTCAGGAAGTGCGTCACGACTACGTAACGAACTAGTTGCTCTCACCAAACGTCAGAGGGCGCAAGCGCAAAAAAAACTGTTATAATCAATGCAACAGAATTGTTTTTACAAAATAATAATTATACGACCAAATTTGGTATGTTCTTTATACATAAAAACAATTTATTCAACACACCTTACGCGAATATTTTTCTTCAGCCGTACTGTCATAAACACCATCTACCCAGCGACAAGCCCATGCATGACTGACAGCGAGAAGCTTTCGTCGCTTTCGTCAACGTCGGCTGCGTCGGCGTTTTCGTGCGTGAGATAACAGGTGAGGCACGTTTTCAAGCGAAGCTTGTTGAATGACATGTTGTTGGTCTTGTTGGGTCATTTTTTCAGAAAACGGTTACACTTGCGCGAATAAGACACCATGCAACAAACATAGAAAGATGCACACACACACGTTGCGCCTCGAGTGTGCGAGTTTGTTTCTTACGTGGCGTCTCATTCACGCAGTTGTAACCTTTTTCTGAAGCTTGTAAGGACTGGGAGGTTCGCTAAAAAGAAAGTTTGTGGCTCTATGCGGCGGCTAGACGGGAACATAGTGCAACGTATGCAGTATAGCAAAGGCGGCACGGCGTCAAGCCGAGGCGACGCGTGCTGCGTCTGCCACGGACGCGAGCGTCTGTGCGCTGAGCGTAGCTGGGCAGCTAGGTCATAGGCTCGGTGCAAAATATTGAGAAGCATTCGCTGGGCCTCGCATGCTTCACGACGCGTTTCCCGAAGACTCGGAACACGAATAATTCTTGGTGTGCCGGAGGCAAATCTGGACTAGCTAAGTGGCCATCATCTTCGTTTTTTCGCTAGCCTTGTGCCACTAGTGCAAGCTGCTCACAAATTTTTTGACGTTTTTAATATAATTTTACCGCATAAATTTCAACTACGATTTTTCTTCCCAAGGTACTGCTGATACTGCGTACGTACGAAGGTGCTCTAAAGTTCCCAGGCCGCGATACCATTGCATTACAAGGGATAGTGGCCTGGAAACTTCTGAAGATCCTTGTACGTGGTCTTGACGTATATCTTTGCAAGTCAGAGTTTTATGGGTCAGAGATGTATCACTGGTTTTGTATTGTGCATCGATTAGCTAATCATTCAAAGGGGTTTGTTGGTACACTAATGACGTGCACATATCTTTTTCGTAATTTGACAGCGAAGCATCCACTTACTAACATTTTGAGACCGCGCTGACGCCATGCCGTCCAGCGGTCCAAGCTACGGCAGCTACTGCTGTGTATCGTGGTGCTTCAACAATGGCAGAACCCACAAGAAGCCTGGGACGAGTTTCTTCCGCATACCACGGGACGGCAGGTGTGTTAAAGCTTTTGTATGGTTTGCATGTCTTTAGGCTTACTGGTCGTACTTGCTCAGTGAGGGTAACAATAAAAAATCACTATTCAAGCACTTCTCCTTTCAGCTGATAGTTCATTGCCAATGCAGAATGAAAGCATGGTTGCAATATGCTGGACGCTATGATCTCCTTAGTAAGCCGGCCAGCCTATTGTACGCAACGTACAGGGTTTGTAGCGACCATTTTACTGCTCAAAGTTTCATGGACCTTGGGCACACAAGGCTTACAAGAATGGCTGTTCCCAGTGTGCAACCAGCTGCACCATGTAAGTGATTGACTGAAACTCAAATATGTGCAATAGCAGCCACTTGTAGTGAATCAGTGGCGACAGTTAACCGTGAAGATCTTTTTAGCCGATGGAGAAGCCTCACTTGGAAAGTCTTAAATTTTGTGAATTGTGGGCTATTACCTTCCTAACAGCAGCTTTATATTTCTGTCGTTTTTTGATGCTCTTGACCTGCGCAACTTGTTTTAAAAGACTTTAAAAGGCTATTTCACGTTATCTTCAAGCCTGAGTGCACATGTACGTATACCTTTTATCAGTGAAAGCTGCCACTGTTGATAATTCCAAAAATCACAAAGTACTTGTTTCCTAGTTGGTGCCTTCTCTTTTCTTCCACGTTCGACGAATTTATGCGTTTGAAAGAGCTGTTTAAGTTTCCCCATGCTACAAGCTTTGTAACCTGTACCAACTGCACATATATGCAGGTTCTCTGAGCGTCGCTTCAAGTAGTGACTGTGACATGGCTGCAGAAGCTGCACTGCAAGGTGCGGATGAGCTTCAGTTTGTGTTATTTTGAGCCTCCTAATTACTGATACATTGTCGTAATTTCATTTCTTCAGGACCTGCGGTAGAGGCTTCAAAAAGCGGCTCCCACACATTGAGGTGCCCCGATGAACAGGGTGCGTTCAGTGTCGCGATTTCTTTTTTTTACCGAAATTGACTGTTGACCAAACCTCTGCAGGTGGCAGCTCCCTTGTAGCTGATGAAAGAATTCCCGCTGACTTCGTCTTGCCGGAGAAAACCTTAACCAGTCATTCAGCTGTCACAAAAGGAACTTGTGTGACCGGTAAGTTGTATGTTCACTTCAACACCAGAGTGGATTGATATAGAGACTTCCGCAGGCCGCTCGCAAGATTGTTCCGACAGCACTGTCCGAGGCACTGAACAAGCTTCACAAAACCCTCCAGAAGACGTCTCCACCAACAGCTCTACGCCTGAGTGCCCTAGAGAAAATGGTGACTATGCTTTTATTGCAGCTGTTTTTAATGTGCTATTTTATGTTTAGGACATTCTGAGGAAACTATCCTCAAAAGGACACTACGTGTGCACTTACAAATTGTAAGGGTGGGCTCTCAGTGATTTTTATTTTTTTTGTGTTCATTGTCAACATTGTGAATGGTTTGTTTTTAGGTAGTGGAATCGAAAACTTTGCACCACAGAAAGTTGTGCAACTTGGGTCTGAAAGAGCGAGGAAAGTGCTCGTATGGGATTAGTTGTTCTTCGCTTTTACATCCATTTTTTTGTTTATTGCAGTGCGTTCCTTTGTGCCAGCGACAATGTCTCCATCAATGAAGTACAAGCAAACCATTAAACATCTGCAAGCCAAAGTAGCAGCACAGCGGAAAACTATCAAAAGACTGCGGAGACAGCCTCACCAAGCACCGTCATCGACTTCAAAGGCCCTTGAAGTTATCCGACCGCACGTCACCGAGGAGGTTTTTAAACTTCTTTCTGCACATGTTCGCTTGAGGCCCAAACGCAAGGGCAAACGGTTTCCCGTGTGGTTCAAGAAATTCGCTCTTCACCTAAACTTCCGAGGTCCGCGAACATACCGATTTCTGGCTCCATATTTTTCTTTGCCCTCCCGGCGTTCATTAAGGAGGTGGCTAGCTAATGTAAAGATGACTCCAGGCATAATTCCAGGAATCCTTTCTTCCATTGCAACAAATACTCAAGCTTGGAATGAACGGGACCGAGTGTGCGCTTTAGTTTTCGACGAAATAGCACTCAAAAGAATTTGTACTATGATGCTGCAAGAGACATTGTCCAGGGTTTTACAGATGATGGCACTCATCGCACTTCAACCATCGCTGATCGAGCACTGGTTTTTCTTCTTGTTGGCGTTTCGAGAAAGTGGGTTCAACCGGTTGCTTTTACTATAGGGCACACATCAACACCATCACCTGTTATGCATAACTTGCTGGTGTCTCTCATTTTGGAGCTTAGGAGCACTATTATTGCAGTGAAAGCAGTCATTTGTGACCAGGGTAGTTCAAATGTAAGCCTCGCTAACCAACTAAGAGTGACTGTAGCAAAGCCTTTTTTTTTGAAGTTAATGGTGAGTGGGTATATTACATTTTTGATGTTCCGCATTCAATTAAAACAACGCACAATAATGTCCAAGCACACAAGTTATACATTGGGGATGACATCGTTAACTGGTCGCACATTGTAAGCCTTTACCAATCCTCACATGAGTTGCGGTTGCGATTGGCTCCAAAGTTGACTGTACGGCACGTTCATCAGAAACCTTTTTCTAATATGAAGGTCAGCAGAGCAACTCAGGTCCTCAGTGCATCAGTTTCAATTGCTATCACGGCATTGGTGTATGCGAAGGTGCTGCCTGCCTCGGCCATCACTACAGCTCAATTTTGTGATCGTATGGACAGGATTTTCGATGCCTTGAACAGCTCGAGTAAAAAAAGAACTTCGCAAAAGCTGCGGCATGCAATCATGAAAAATGATTCAGAGCTGACTGACTTCCTCCGAGGCCAGCTTCCCTGGATTGCATCATGGCAGTTTGTTGGCAGACGTCAACCACAAACCATCGTAGGCTGGCAAATTACAATTCAGGCAATTTGTCAACTATGGGACGACCTCTCCAAAAATTACAATTTTGAATACCTGTTAACACGCAGGCTTCAACAGCATCCTCTGGAAAACATATTTGGCCACATTAGGCAAAAACAGGGT